ATGTACCCACAACCAAGGTACATGCCCTTGACTGGAATCGAACCCGGGACCCTTCATTCCGCAGGCCGACGCTCTATCCACTGAGCCAAACAGGTTTGGACTTCCCCCTCTTGTTTTTAAAGATGTTTCAGAGTGCCTACCCATGGTCGGCAAACTGCGGCTCGAGAGCCACATGCGGCTCTTTGGCCCCTTGAATGTGGCTCTTCCACAAAATGCCACAGCCTGGGCGAGTCTATGTTGAAGAAATGGAGTTAGAAGAAGTTTAAGTTTGCTGTAACCAGTTTGGCTCAGTGGGTAGAGCATCGGTCTGCAGACTGAAGGGTCCCGGGTTCGACTCCGGTCAAGGGCATGTACCTTGGTTGCGGGCACATTCCCAGTAGGGGGTGTGCAGGAGGCGGCTGATCAATGTTTCTCTCTCATCGATTTTTCTAGCTCTCTCTCCCTCTCTCTTCCTCTCTGTAAAAAAATCAATAAAATATATTTTTTAAAAAGAAGTTTAAGTTTAAAAAATGTGGCTCTCCAAAGAAATTTCAATCATCGTACTGTTGATATTTGGCTCTGTCGACTAATAAGTTTGCTGGCCACTGACCTAATCGGTTTGGCTCAGTGGATAGAGCATCGGCCTGCAGACTCAAGGGTCCCAGGTTCGATTCCGGTCAAGGGCATGTTCCTTGATTGCGGGCACATTCCCAGCAGGGGGCGTGCCGGAGGCAGCTGATCGATGTTTCTCTCTCCTTGATCTTTCTAACTCTATCCCTCTCCCTTTCTCTCTGTCGAAAATCAATAAAAAAATATTTTTAAAAGAAGATATTTCGGAGAAAGGAGAGAGAGAAAAACAAATGATGAGAGAGACTCATTGACTGGCTGCCTCCTGCACGCCCCACACAGGGGATGGCAATCCAGGCATGTGCCCGGACTGGGAATCGAACCCGGGACCTCTTGGTCCACAGGACAAAGGCCGCGTCCCCGCCTTTGTAAGTGCATCTTGTCTCTGCCCCTCAGTTCGAGTGCCTGCCTCTTCCCCTCTGGGTGCAGTGCCTCTGCTAACCCAATCCCTCCTTCTGTTCCTGGCGGGCCGGAAGGGGTGGTTTCTCTCTCTCCCCCCTCCTCCCCCGTCCTCATCTTTCTCCTTCTCCCCGCTTCTACCGGTGTCTCTGACCCTATGAATCTCTCTTTGCACCTTGGGGTGGGGTCTCTCGCTCCCTCCAGGTCTCGCTGTGATTCAGTGCTTGGCTCTGGGGTTCTATGCGCAGCTGTTCAGGTTTTTGTTTTGTTTTTTGGTTGTTGTTTTTTTTTTGGGGGGGGGGAGGGATTCGAACGTGAACGTGAACCGTGCAGGTCTCCTGCCGCCGCCACCCGCCCGCCCTGCCCCCTCCACCTGCGTCCCGCTCCGGTCTGGCTCCTTCCCTCCCGCCAGCGCGCGCTGGGAGCCCTGCTGTTGCCAAGGGCAACTACGGCCCGCCCTCGGTTTGCGGGAGCGCAATGCATCCTGGGATGCATGCTGGTCGGCGTAGTCCAAGCCTGCGGGCCGCCTGTTTGCACCGCATGCTGAGAACTTCCTCTCCCGGCATGCTCCGCGAGGCGGAGCGGGGCGCTTGGGCGGTGCCTGAGGGGTGGGGGGGCGCCCATCGCGCTTGGTTTGGGACTTTTGGGGGGTCGTGGTCCGCCCTCCCGAAGCCGAAGGGGAGGGGAGACAATCCGAGTCTGTTCCCAACTCCTCCCTCCATGGGGGGGGTCCTCTGGCCTTCCAGCCAGCCGTCCCCAGGTCCGCCGGGCCCCAGAGCAGATGGGGGTGGGGGTGGCCCCGAAAACTGCCCTCGGAATCCCACGGCGCTCGATCCCAGGGCTCCCGGGGCCTTCCCGGTCATCGGCGTCTCACCCCCTGGGTTTTAGAGCGGGTCTCCCGGCGCCTTCCGGAAGGGTTTGAGCATGGGATGCGGGAGTGAGGAGGAGACGCCCTTTGGGGGGAGGAGGGGTGGTACAGGCCAGTTCTGGGGTGCACAGTGCAGAGACCAGAGAGAGGCTACCCCTCGCCCCGGCCGGTGTGGCTCAGTGGGTAGAGCGTAGGCCTGCGGACTAAAGGGTCCCAGCCAGGTTCCCTTCCGGTCAAGGGCACATGCTCTGGTTGTGGGCTCGGCCCGCCACTAGAGGGCGTGCGCCACCCATGATTCTCTCTCATCATTGACCTTTCTGTCTCTCCCTTTCTCTCTGAAATCAATAAAAATGTACTTTAAGAGGAGAGAGAGAGAGAGAGAGAGAGAGAGAGCGCCGAAACCGGTTTGGCTCAGTGGATAGAGTGTCGGCCTGTGGATTGGAAGGTCCGAGGTTCGATTCCGGTCAAGGGCCTGGACCTTGGTTGCTGGCACAATCCCCGGCAGGGGGTGTGCAGAAGGCGGCTGATGGATGTTTCTAATTCTCTACCCCTCTCCCTTTCTCTCTGTAAAAAAAACAATAAAATATATTTTTTAATTAAAAATGTATTAAAAATAATAGTTTGATTAGCAAATGACAGAGAGGAAACCTGGAAGACCTGAGCTCATGGGACTCCAAGGATGGAGGAATCTTGTTCATCTTTTTTAAAAATAAATTTTTATTGACTTCAGAGATGAGGGGAGAGATAGAAACATCAACGATGAGAGAGAAGCATGGATTGCCTCTTGCAGGCCCCAATTGGGGATCCAGCCGGAAACCTGGGCATGTGCCCTGACAGGGAATAGAAACCGGTGTGGCTCAGTGGATAGAGCGTCGGCCTGCAGACTGAAAGGTCCCAGGTTCGATTCCGGTCAAGGGCATGTACCTTGGTTGCGGGCACATCCCCAGTGAGGGGTATGCAAGAGGCAGCTGGTCGATGTTTCTCTCTCATCAATGTTTCTAGCTCTCTCTCTCTCTCTCTCTCCCTTCCTCTCTGTAAGAAAATCAATAAAATATATATATTTTTAAAAAGCGAATCTTGTTCATCTCTATCCTAACCAGCTCTCCTGGTTTGAGAATAATCTGCAAGACCCAGACTCAACTCGTACTTCTCTGAGGAGGCCGGCCCTGCCCCGTTCTCCCCATCAGACCCAGGAACCCGGGCCTCGCCCTGCCTCCCGGAGTTCCCCCCAATAATAAAGCACACACAAGTCTTCCTTGAACCTTTATATGGAGGTAAAAAATAAAATAAAGAACGTTACAGATGTGGAGGTGGCTGGGGAAGGGAGGGATGAAGCTTCCCTCTCTGATGGACAGCAGGGGCCGCCGGGAACCAGAAGCTCCAGGGAATTAAAAAAACAATAAAATATGTATCTATACATTTATATATATATATATATATATATATATATATCATGTGAGGCGTGTGAGTCCCAGAGAAGCAGGAAGCGGCAGCAGGAAGCAGCTACGTACACAGAAACACGCGTGTGTGTCTCACGCACTCAGGGGGGCAGCGATCCCCACCTGTCCAGCCCACCCACAAATTTAAAAAAAAAAAAAAAAAAAAGGAACTCTTCCCCTTTAAGAGGAGGACCACCCAGCAGTCATTTCTGCCCTTGCGACAGGAAGAAGAGAAAAAAAAACCCAGGCTCCCTTGCTCTCCTCCCAGCTAAGGCGGCACACGTTCCCGCCCCTCGGAAATACCGCAGGCAGCGTGGTGCCCAGAGGGTAGTCAGGATGGAAGACAGCCACCCTCCTTGGGTCCCTTTAAGACAGCCCGTGGGGCGGGGGGTTTTGGTAAGCCTGGCAAGAATCCCGGGGAGACTGGGCGCCAGGCGGGGGGGCCCAAGGACCCAGGGTCTGTGATGTAAGCCTCCTGCCCGTCCTATCTAATAAAGAGCTAATATGCTAATTATAATTAGACTGGCTTGCAGGATGACCTCTGGACGACCTTCCGGAAGGACCAGTGGGCGGGGCCGGGGGCCGCGAGGCAGTTGGGCCTGCGAGGGCCGAGCCCCCTTGCACGAATTTCATGCACCGGGCCTCTAGTTCAAAATAACTGGCCTCCGGGAATTTTTTATTTTTACTTAAAGAGGCAGCTTTACTATATACCCCCTTCCACTGGGAGAAAAGGGTCCCCATCCCTAGCTACCCTCCCACCCCCAAAACACACACACACACACACACACACACACACACACCCCTACTAAGAAGGCACAGCCAGCGTGGGCGCATGCTTTGGCAATGAGGCCCCTGAGGGGGCCCGGGGTCTGACCAGCTATGTGGGGTGTGGGGGCGTGGAGCTCAGCACCTTTGGAGTTGGGGTGGCAGTGGAGGCGGGAAGGGGGGCGGTTTGGGGGGGGGGTGTGACCAGGAAGTCCCAGGGCTCCCCAAGAAAAGCGGAAGAAGGGGTGGGAGGAAGAAGTGGTACCGAAAACAAGGCAGGCGAGAAAGCACAGTGGAACAGACCAGGGAGGAAAAGGAGAGAGCGAGTGAGGAGAGGGGGGGGAGAGGGGGAGAGAGAGGGAGAGAGAGAGAGAGAGAGAGAGAGAGGGAGGGCCAGGCAGGCAACCCGGGTGTGGGCAGCCGAAGAAAGACGCAGGGCCGAAACCGGTGTGGCTCAGTGGATGGAGCCTCGGCCTGTGGACTGAAAGGTCCCGGGTTCGATTCCGGTCAGGGGCATGTACCTTGATTGCGGGCACATCCCCGGTAGGGGGTGTGCAGGAGGCAGCTGATGGGTGTTTCCAGCTTCCTATCCCTCTCTCTTCCCCTCTGTGAAAACTCAATAAAATCTATTTTTTTTAAAAGAAAAAGACGCAGGAAGGGAAGGGGACAGAGGGCATGGGACAGGGGTGGGGGGAGAGCAGGTGACAGGGATGAGGAGGAGAGGAGACGCAGGGGGAGGACTTGGGAGGAGATCAGAGACACCCTGGGGAGAGAGAGAGAGAGAGAGAGAGAGGGGGAAACATCAATGAGAGAGAGAGATAGAAACACCATCTCCTGGGGGGAGAGGGGGAGAGAGAGGGAGAGGGGGAGTCGGGCGGGTCCCGGACGAACGGACAGGCGGACGGCCGGCCGGACGGCACGCCTCAGACCCGGACGAAGACCAGGTGGGCCGAGTGCACCAGGTCGGCCACGTAGGCCAGCAGGTTGATGGCGGTGAGGATGGCCACGGCCAGGCGGCGGTCCCAGGGGCACACGTACTGGACGTGGCTGCCCCGGCAGCTGGGGTCCCTGGCGCGCCGGGGCTGGCCGCCGTGCTTCTCGTCGAACTGGTAGAGCGGCCAGAGGATCATGGCGGAGGCGTAGCAGAGCACGGACACCAGCGCCAGGCCGGACAGGAAGGTGGGGAAGGGCACGGGCAGGGCGTTGGTGCAGTCCAACAGGTTGAGCAGGATGGCCACGGCGGCCAGGATGAAGCAGATGGCGTACACGGCCACGCACCACTCTAGGGCCGGCCGGTCCTTGTACATGTAGGGGTCGCTGATGAAGGCGAAGATGATGCAGGCCATGAAGGTCTCCACCACCTTGAGCAGGCCCGGCACGGTGGCCATGTAGCCGGTGACCTCGCCGGGCCGGGCGCGGGTCCAGGCCACCTCGGTGGCGTAGGCCAGGCAGGCCACGCAGGAGAAGGCGGTGGCGGCGATGGCGTGGTCGCGGGAGCGGCCCTGGCCCATGAACTGGACGTAGGTGGCCGGGTAGAGGACCGAGGCGGTCAGGCAGAAGAGGGCGGCGTAGCAGGCGAAGGTGATAGGGAAGTTGCGCCAGGACAGCGGGAAGCGGGCCTGCAGCCCGGCCAGCTCCACCGCGATGATGACGAGGGTCACGGCGAAGCAGAAGCACCAGGCGAACATGCAGAAGTTGCCCGAGAAGCCCACCCAGGCGTTGACGCTGGCCACCAGCGAGAAGGCCACGCAGGTGGACAGCAGCTGCAGCAGGCGGAGCAGGCCCAGAGGCTGGGTCAGCGCCCGCGGCGAGCCCAGCACGGTGGGCGAGGCCGAGGACGTGGTGGTGATGGTCGTGCGCGTCACGGTCACCGGCATGGCTGCGGGGAGGAGGGGGGGGAAGAGGAGGAGGAGGGTGAACGGAGAAGGTGCCGGCCGGGAGGACTCCCTAGCCTTGGCCGGCCTCAGAGGGGGGACAGAGGAATCTGGGGGACTGGAGCTGGGGGGTATCCCCAATGCCCGTGGTCGGCAAGCTGCGGCTCGCGAGCCACAGGCGGCTCTCTGGCCCCTTGGGTGTGGCTCTTGCACAAAACGCCATGGCCTCATGGGGACTGAAAGGTCCCGGGTTCGATTCCGGTCAAGGGCATGTACCTTGGTTGCGGGCGCATCCCCGGTAGGGGGTGTGCAAGAGGCAGCTGGTCGATGATTCTCTCTCATCGACGTTTCTAACTCTCTATCCCTCTCTCTTCCTCTCTGTGAAAAATCAATAAAATATATATATTTTTTAAAAAAGATTATTTATAACAAAAACAAAAAAAATACCATGGCCTGGGCAAGTCTATTTTTAAAAAAATATATATGTTTTACTGATTTTTTAAAATATATATATATTTTATTGATTTTTTGCAGAGAGGAAGGGAGAGAGGTAGAGAGCTAGAAACATCGATGAGAGAGGAACATCGACCAGCCACCTCCTGCACACCCCCTACCGGGGATGTGCCCGCAACCAATGTACATGTCCCCCCCACACACCGGAATCGAACCCGGGACCCTTCCGTCCACAGACCGACGCTCTATCCGCTGAGCCAAACCGGTTTCGGCTGTTAGTTTGTTTTTAAAATATATTTTTATTGATTTTTTTTTTTTTTACAGAGAGGAAGGGAGAGGGATAGAGAACTAGAAACATCGATGAGAGTCAGCCGCCTCTTGCACACCCCCCACTGGGGACGTGCCCGCAACCAAGGCACATGCCCTTGACCGGAACAGAACCCGGGACCCTTCAGTCCGCAGGCCGACGCTCTATCCACTGAGCCACACCGGTTTCGGCGGTTCAGCCTTCTATGTGCCCTGCCTGGGGATCAAACCAGAAACCTTGGTGTGCCAGGGGTGGTCTAACCAACCAGAGTCTTTTTTTTTATGAGTTGCCAACCACAGAGCTCTCTCTGGGGCTCAGTGGTTGAGCGTTGACCCGCGATCCGAGAGGTCATGATTTGATTTCCGGGGAGGACACATGACTGGATTGCAGGCTGGATCCCCAGTAGGGGGCATGTAGGAGGCAGGGGTGGATAAATTTTCCTCTCCTTATTGATGTTTCTCTCTCTCCCTCTCTCTTCTTCTCTCTGAAGTCAATTTTTAAAAAATTTAAAAATATCTTTTTTTTTTTTTTTTTTTAAGTAGGCTCATTCTGTCGGGTACTGTGGTCTCCATATTAAAAAAGAAATCCACCCTGACTGGTGGATAGAGCATCGGCCTACAGACGGAAGGGTCCCAGGTTCGATTCCAGTCAAGGACATGTACCCTGGTTGCGGGCAAATCCCTAGTATGTGTAGGAGGCAGCTGATCAATGTTTCTAACTCTCTATCCCTCTCCCTTCCTCTCTGTAAAAAAAAAAATCAATAAAATACATATATATATATATTTTAAATCAATAAAATATATTTTTTAAAAAGAAACCCTAGCTGGTTTGGCTCAGTGGATAGAGCGTCAGCCTGCGGACTGAAGGGCCCTGGATTTGATTCCGGTCAAGGGCACATCATGCCCAGGTTGTGGACTCAATCCCCAGAGGAGGGTGTGTGCCAGAGGCAGCCAATCAATGATTCCCTCTCATCATTGATGTTTCTATCTCTCCCTCTCCCTTCCTCTCTGAAATCAATAAAAATATTAAGGAAATAGCCGAAACCGGTTTGGCTCAGCAGTAGAGCGTCGGTCTCCGGACTGAAAGGTCCCAGGTTCGATTCCGGTCAAGGGCATGTACGTTGGTTGCGGGTACATCCCCAGAAGGGGGTATGCAAGAGGCAGCTGGTCGACGTTTCTAGCTCTCTATCTCTCTCCCTTTCTCTCTGTAAAAAATCAATATATTTAAAATATATATATATATATATTAAGAAAATAATAAAAGACTGGGCTCTAAAGCAACCCCTCTGTGCCTCCCCACCACGTCTGTCAGAACAAGAGGCGGTGTCTTATGACCTCTTAACAGTCCATCTCTCTCAACTTCCCCTCTTTGGGGTACCTGCAGTTCTGCACCCCAGCCTCTGTGCCCTACTTCCTCTTCCGCCTAAGGGGACCTCGATATATTTCTGGCCTCCAAAAGTTGGGGAGTCGGGCCTGCCCAGTTCCGCATCCTCAGGGACCCACATCTAATCACCCCTCGCCTCTGAGTATCCCCACCCCCTCCTCCACCCCCACCTCAGAGACCAGGAGTCCCAGGAGAGCCTCGACCCAAAGGAAGTCCAGCTTCCTCTTGCCTGCCCCCACGTGGAGCCCAATTCCCTCAGAACCCCGGCCAGCTGGTTCCCCTCCTTCATGGGAACTCGGCTCCCAGCCCCGGCCAGCCAGCCCATGTGGCTCAGTGGTTAAGAATGGGTCCCTACCGGTTTGGCTCAATGGATAGAGCGTCGGCTTGGGGACTGAAAGGTCCCGAGTTCGATTCCGGGCAAGGGCATGTACCTTGGTTGCGGGCATATCCCCAGTAGGGGGTGTGCAAGAGGCAGCTGATCGATGACTCTCTCTCATCGATGTTTCTAACTCTCTATCTCTCTCCCTTCCTCTCTGTATAAAATCAATAAAATATATTTAAAAAAAAAAAAAAAAAAAAAAAAAAAAAAAGAATAGGTCCCTGAACCAAGAGGTCAACGGTTGGATTCCCAGTCCCCAGCCCGACACGTGGCTGTATTTCAGGCTTGACTCCCCAGTAGGGGGCGCACAGGAGGCAGCTGACAGATGTTTCTATCCATCCCTCTCCCTTTCTGCCTCTCTAATAAAACTGTTTGCCTTTATTATTTTTTAAAATGTTTTATTGATTTTTTTCTTACAGAGAGGGAGGGAGAGAGATCGTTAGAAACATCGACGAGAGAGAAAACACCCATCAGCCGCCTCCTGCACACCCCCCACTGGGGAATGTGCCTGCAACCAACGTACATGCCCTTGACGGGAATGGAACCCGGGACCCTTCGGTCCACGGATCAACGCTCTGTCCACTGAGCCACACCGGTCAGCGCTGTTTGGGTTTGTTTGTTTTTTTAAAGCAATTCATCTCCCAGATTCTAAAGTGTCCGGTGATCTGGCCGGCTGTTCCACCGGGACCTCCAGGTTTCCGTGTTATGTAGCTTCGGGCTCGGGGTTCTGAGCTCCCCAGCAGCCAGCACACCAGCCGGCCAGCCACCTGCCCTGAGACGGGGCTTCCTCCCCCGCCCTCCAGCCCTCCGGGTCCTCCCTCAGGGCACAAAGGCTCCAGTCTCCGCGGCCACTCCTCGGGGCTGAGAGGCCTCGCTCTGCCGGCGGAAATAACTTCCCCTTCCCGCTCAGAGCCAGCGAGCAGGCTATCCCACCCCTCACCCCGCCCCCTGGACACAGGGCCAGTGCTCACTCCTCCTTCCCCAGACACACAGGTGTGGGGCCCGCTGCTTGGAGAGCGAGCTCCCAGGTACATTTCTCAGGATCCAGAAGCCAGACAGACACCCCGCCCCAGCCACTCCTCTTACAGATCCGGGAGCCCAGGCCCCAGCCCTCCTCCCTCAGACCCAGGACCCAGGCCCCAGCCCTCCTCCCTCAGACCCAGGACCCAGGCCCCAGCCCTCCTCCCTCAGACCCAGGAGCCCAGGCCCCAGCCCTCCTCCCTCAGACCCAGGCCCCAGGCCCCAGCCCTCCTCCCTCAGACCCAGGAGCCCAGGCCCCAGCCCTCCTCCCTCAGACCCAGGAGCCCAGGCCCCCAGCCTCCTCCCTCAGACCCAGGAGCCCAGGCCCCCAGCCTCCTCCCTCAGACCCAGGAGCCCAGGCCCCAGCCCTCCTCCCTCAGACCCAGGCCCCAGCCCTCCTCCCTCAGACCCAGTCCCCAGTCCCCAGCCTCCTCCCTCAGACCCAGGCCCCAGGCCCCAGCCCTCCTCCCTCAGACCCAGGAGCCCAGCCCCCAGCCCCGTTACCTGCGGTCTTAGCTGAGGATCCCGACGGAGAAAGATCTGGCTCACGTGGCGGATGAAGTCAGAGGCACCTGGAAAAGGTTAGTCAGAGCATGAGAGAGGCCGGGAGAGAGGACTTCAGCCTGCGCTCGGCCCGGCTCCGCCCCCGGAGACCCAGGCGACAGCCCGGCCGGGGCGAGAAGGCTCCCCCCACTCACCCCACCCCCGCCCCGCCCCGGAGACTGGGCAGCAGCTCGGGCCACACCTCCCGGGCCGGGCAGCCGCACCTCCCTCCCTCCCTCCCTCTCTCCCCCTGCACCCCCGTCCCCCCCAACCGGGGGTGGAACCCCAGCCTCTGGGTGAAAGTGCGCGCCGCCGGGGCGTGCGCCCGGCCGCCGCCCCGCCCCGCCGGGGGAGGGCGCTGGGCGGAGGCTGCAGGGCGGCCCGCCGGCCCGATCCGCGTCCCCGGCCTTATAAGGACTCAAGCCGCCCGGCCACCTGGAATGCGGCGGGGACCCCCGCCCCGCGCCTCGGCTTGGGGGCGGGGAGCCCGGACTCCGGGTCCCCGCTGGAGAGGCCTGGGACGCACGTGTCTGGCGCGTTCACTGTGGGATTTCTGGGTCCCTCTGGGGATGGGGGGGGGGGGGCGCCGGGCCCCCCGGGAGGGCCTCTGGGAGGGGGGTGACCGGGAACCGGGCTCAGAGGGCGGGGTTGCCTGGCGGAGACCCACACACACACACACCCCGCCTCCGGGCCCGGAGCTGCGCGCCCCGCTGGGGAACGGAGAGCTAAGCGGTCCCTCCTCCTCCTCCTCCTCCTCCTTCTCCGCCGGGAAGGGAGGTGTCCCGGGCCCCCCAGGAGGGCCTCTGGGAGGGGGGTGACCGGGAACCGGGCTGGGGGGCCCGGGAGGGATTGCCTGGCGGGGATACCCCCCCCCCCCCCGCCTCCAGGCCTGGAGCTGCGCGCCCGGCTGGGGAAGGA